GCTTAATATTAATAAAGTTAATAAGGTTATCAATTCTGTTTGTATGGCAAGTTCTAGCAAAAATGATAGTTTTCTATGGCATGCTAGATTAGGTCATGTTCATTATAATCGTATGATTAATATGTCTAAAGAAGGGTTGATTCCTACTTTTGATATAGATTTAGAAAAATGTAGTACTTGCATGCTAACAAAAATAATTAGACAACCATTTAAAGGCATTGAAANTTGTATGGCAAGTTCTAGCAAAAATGATAGTTTTCTATGGCATGCTAGATTAGGTCATGTTCATTATAATCGTATGATTAATATGTCTAAAGAAGGGTTGATTCCTACTTTTGATATAGATTTAGAAAAATGTAGTACTTGCATGCTAACAAAAATAATTAGACAACCATTTAAAGGCATTGAAAGAAATTCAGTAGTGGTAGGACTTATACATAGTGATCTATGTGATTTGCATGCTACACCATCTTTAGGAAACAAGAAATATTTTGCTACATTCATAGATGATTATTCTCGTTTCTGTTATGTGTATTTATTACATACTAAAGATGAGGCCTTAGATAAATTTAAGATTTATAAAATTGAGGTTGAATTAGAACAATATGGTTTGATTAAGAAATTACGCACTGATAGAGGTGGAAAGTATTATGATCCGGTATATTTTCAGTCTGTAGGCATTATACATGAAACTACAGCTCCATATACACCACAACAAAATGGTGTATCAGAAAGGAAAAATAGAATCCTAAAAGAAATGGTTAATTCCATGTTATCCTACTCGGGATTGAGTGACAGATTTTGGGGAGAAGCTATGTTAACGACTTGCTATTTATTAAATAGAGTTCCTAATAAAAGGAACAAACTTACCCCTTATGAACTTTGGTATAAGAAAAAACCCAACTTGAATTATCTTCGAGTGTGGGGATGTAGGGCTGTAGTGAGACTACCCTAACCCATAATTAAAACTTTGGGAGAGAGAGGTATTGATTGCATTTTTATTGGATATGCAGAGCATTCCATAGCTTATAGGTTTTATGTAATAGAACCCAATGATTCAATAGCAGTTCACACTGTGATCGAATCACGAGATGCAATATTTGATGAAACTCGGTTTTCGTCTATACATATGCCAAAGACTTTAGATCCAAGTTCAAGTGGAACTAATAAAGGAGATGAAACTCTTGTGTCTCCTAACTTGTCACATGTTCTTCGGAGGAGCAAGCGAGGAAGGACTGAAAAATCATTTGGTCCTGATTTTCAAATATATTTAGTTGAAGGATTAAGAAATGAGATTGATTTCCAACACTCATACTGTTATCATATTGATAATGATCCAAGAACTTATAGTGAGGCTGAAGTCTCAAGATGTTGCTTTTTGGAAAGAAGCAATAAATGATGAGATGGACTCCATCATGGGAAATAATACTTGGATCCTGTCGGATCTCCCACCTGGTTGCAAGCCTTTAGGCTGCAAATGGATCTTCAAAAGGAAGATGAAAGTTGATGGAACAATCGACAAATTTAAAGCTCAATTGGTTATTCAAGGCTTTAAACAAAAGGAAGGTATTGATTATTTCGATACATATGCTCCAGTTGCTAGGATCTCTTCTATAAGATTATTAATAGCTTTGGCAGCAATTAATAACCTTATGGTTCACCAAATGGATGTTAAGACGGCGTTCTTAAATGGTATTTTGGAAGAAGAGGTGTATATGAAGCAACCTGAAGGTTTTGTTATGCCTGGCAATGAGCAAAAGGTGTGTAAGTTGATCAAATCATTGTATGGGCTAAAGCAAGCACCTAAACAGTGGCATCAAAGATTTGATGAGGCTGTCTTATCAAATGGTTTCAAGTTAAACCAATCTGATAAGTGTTCGTATAGCAAATTTGATGAATCCGGCAACAGAGTAATCAGTTGTTTATATGTTGATGACATGTTGATCTTTGGTACTGACCTTAGACAAGTAGAGCTTACAAAAGTATTTTTGTCATCAAATTTTGAAATGAAAGACATGGGAGACGCATATGTGATTCTTGGAATTAGAATCAAACGTGAAAACAAAGGACTGTCTTTAACACAATCTCACTACATTGAGAAAGTTCTTAAGAAATTCAATTGTGAGAATTGTTATCCGATAAGCACTCCCATGGATCCGAGTGTGAAGCTTATGCCTAATACAGGACAAGCAGTATCTCAACTCGAGTATTCACAAGTGATTGGCTGCTTAATGTATGCCATGACGAGCACCAGGCCAGATATAGCTTACGCTGTAGGAAGGTAGAGTAGATACACTAGTAATCCCAGTACTCAACATTGGCAAGACTTAAAAAGGGTGCTCAAGTATTTGAAAGGAACCATTAATTATGGTTTGTCATATGTCGGATTTCCTTCGGTGTTAGAAGGATATTCAGATGCAAGTTGGATTACCAACATAGAAGATCATTCTTCTACAAGTGGTTGGGTGTTTTTGCTTGGGGGAGGTGCCATTTCATGGGATTCTAAGAAGCAAACTTGCATTACAAGTTCGACTATGGAATCAGAATTCGTAGCATTAGCAGCTGCCGGTAAAGAGGCAGAGTGGCTAAGAAATTTAGTGTACGAAATTCCATTGTGGCCGAAACTAGTATCACCAATTTCTATCCATTGTGATAGTCAAGCTACCTTGGCTAAGGCCTATAGCCAATTGTATAATGGTAAGTCTAGACACCTGGGCGTTAGACATAGCGTACGTGAGCTGATCACTCATGGGGTGATAACAATAAAGTTTGTTCGGTCTCAACAAAATTTAGCTGATCATTTGACGAAAGGAGGGACTTAGTGATTAAGTCTGTGAAAGGGATGGGTTTAAAGTCCATTTGAAATCTTTAATGGTGGGATACCTAATTCCCCTCTAATACGACGTTAGAGGCTGAATTCAATGTGGAAAGCTTACACTTAAAGATTGAAGCACATTTTTTTAGCCCAAAGTATGTGTTTGGACCTGCAAGAAGAGTTAGGTTGAAATATATTCTTAATAAATACTTTGAAAAATGCATTTTCAGGTGCATGACTGAGAGTATTTACCTATATGAGTGTGAAGTGATGCCGCTTCAATAAGCTGGGACTTGGCTTTGTACGCGCTCATGAATGGATAGGGACACATGGCTTATAATAGTGTCAAGTATAACATTTAGAGTAGTGTGGAAACACGTGTGTGTATTATCTTCATGTGTTCAAAATGGGTTGAGGAATTCAATCCGTAGGACATCGTGATTCTCGAATATTTGGAATGTGTAATACACTAAGATGAAAATTCAATTCTTCGAACATTTTCATTTATGCATGAGTTTGATATATGTATTATTTATTTAATGAATCTATGATTACACTTAAATGGGGGAGGATTGTTATATATTTAACTGAATGTGAAAGGGTGCAAGTGTTTATTTGAACCATTGCAATTATTTATGAACAATTACAACTACATAAATGAAACCTTGCAACTTTTGGTAATGACAACCTTTGGTAATAACTACCTTTATGATTGCAACCCTTAGTGATTAACTATTGATAATTGCAACCTTTGGTAATAACTAACTTTATGATTACAACCCTTGGTGATTAACCATTGCAACTCCTTAACTAACCATTGCAACTCTTCATTAACCTTTGCAACTCTTTATTTTAATCATTGCAACTATTGGTTGCAACCTTTCATTTTCTATATAAAGGTATGTAGGCATTGACAAATGAGATAGAAAAAAATCAGAAACAATTAGTTAGAAAGAGAGTAAGAGAGAAATAGATTCATTGTTCAAAGATCATCAAAGATCTTTGAAGAACACATATAAACACTAAAACTTCTTTTTCTTTCTCTTGTATCTTAACCTAGAACAAGAGTGAGACTTTGATTATCTTATCCTACAAAGTGATTTCGCGTAACCCAAAGATTTGAAATAGAGTCGAAATACTCTTTAAGGAAAGTGACCTCGTGCGCGATTCAATCATTATCCAAGTATATAATTCACAAATTTCTGGGTTACAACCCAAATAACCAACACATCTTCTCGAAGTTATTTACATATAAAAGATCTCCTTGTAGTTGTAGACATGTCACATGTTCATGATTGATTTATAAATCTCGTGGACCAGAAAAACAAACATAGTAATTACACAAAGGTCGGCTTTTAGTTAAACTTCAACCATCAAGACATATGGCCCATGCATCACTCTTGCATTTGTCGCCGTGATGGCATTTCCACTATTTTGATTTTAAATTCTGAAAATATACGATTTGAAAAAATTATATGTATACATGATTAATATACAGTTTTAGAAATTTGTTGCAACAACATCAACACATTTGTTCAACAACAACTATGTATTCTTTAAGTTGACCACACCAGAAAATCTGATATAAAAATATTTTTACAGCAACTTGTGTACAATCAATAACATTTTATCTTGTATGATGTAATAGTTTTTATTTTACTAGTATCAACAGTGTAACCGAGAGTTTGAAAAATCGAGTTATTTTTGTAATAGAAAGATTATGTAAAAGAAAATTGCATAATTAAAGAAAATGAACAAAGTCGTTGACGTTTGACTTTGGGGGCTTCACTAACCAATGTGGCGTGACCACGAGCCGTGTGACGAGACTGATGGAGACTGGAGTACACGCGCGGGGTCCTCCAGCCTAACTGCCACCTGTTCCGCAGGCAGCACAGCCCAGTCCAGCCCATCGCTTACTATAAATATCTCAATTTTTATTTTTATTTTTCCCGGAAAATTTATTCGGAAGATTTTCCTTCGCTCTTATGCTTGATTGCGCCGTCCGATTATATCTCAATCGCCGATAAAACTCAAGCAGCGTCACTCTCACTAGATCTTGAAACCAGTACTTGTTTTCTTGCTCGCTCTTTTTCTTCGTCATCGTCGTGCTCAAGATTGTCTGTCTTTTGATTCGTTTAATTTGAATCCTCCTTCTCGAACGGTGACTGAAATCTCTTGATTCGCAATGCGTATATATAAAATTGATCAGGTTCTGATTCGTTATGCATTTGATGATTGTTCGCAGGATGATGATACGGATAAATCTGAGCTAAAATCGGAAGGAGCGTTGAAAGAGATGGATGATAGAGAAGGCTCGTTCGTTGCTGTTAGGCGAATCTCTCAGGGACTCGAACGCGGAAGCGTTTACAATTTCTCCTCTGGTTAACTTCCATCACTTTTTTAGATGAGAGTAATGAATGATTCACGTATTTAGATGGCTTATCCTTCGTCTAGTTCACTTTTTTAGAGTAGTGATTTCCAGGTTGTGTTTGTTCTTGTGATATTTCTGTAAGAATTTGTGTGTATTAGAGATCTAGAGTAGATTGCTTCACATATTGAAGAGACATTGGATCTGTGAACAACACCTAGTATTCGTGTGTTGAAGTTTCATTTGTTTTTGAAACTGCAGAGGGTGTGCCTGGATCAGCAGCTTCGTTAGGCCGAGGTCTTTTCTGTGTTTGTGCTCAGCGAAGAGATAGTGACACTAATTCCACCTTTGATCTAACACCTGCTCAGGTTACTCTTTTTTTTTTTTGAATTGAATCAGGTTACTCATTTTTCTCCACTCTTTTTCATTTTACAGTTTGAAAATTTGGATTTCTGTTGTTCGTTACTTTGTCCTCTACATATCAGTTGGCTACTTGTAACTGTGTCCAAGTTGCTAATAACTGCTACACTTGTTGGACTTTGTAGGAGGAATCCTTGCAGAGTTTGCAGAACCGTATTGATGTAGCTTATGACAGCACAATACCTTTGGACCAGGTACACTTTACGTTAGGGTTATTAAGTTATTAAAAGATTTCTCATATAAAGAAAGTGGACTTGAACTATCAAACTGGAGATGGTAGAATACTGCAGTTTTCCATCGTTTGGTCTCCTTTTGCATGCTTGCATCACACGTCCAGATGTAACAGCTTTGGTAATAACTTTTTTTTTTGTTTCTTCGAACGCTCTTAGGAAGCTCTGATGGATCTATGGAAACTTGCCTTTCCTGAAGAAGAGCTTCATGGATTGATATCTGAGCAGTGGAAAGAGATGGGTTGGCAGGGCAAAGATCCGTCTACTGATTTTAGGTGTAATACTGACTTTCCTCGCCACTCTTGTTGATATTTACATTTCTCTCTTCCATCGTCTTTGACTCACGGTGCAGCATCTTTCAGGGGTGGTGGTTTCATATCGCTTGAAAACTTGCTGTACTTCGCTAGGAACTTTCAGGTATACCCATTCCACTGCATTTTTAAACGTTTCTGAGAAGAATGACTTAGTTTTCTGAAATGACATTCACTTTCTATACTCAATATTAGTTATTAGTATTTATGTGTACCATCACATATAATACTTTCTCCATATAACGGGCGTGTTTCACAGTTTCCTCAGTTTTATAACGCTGCATGTCCATATGCTGCAGAAATCCTTCCAGGATCTGTTGAGGAAGCAGGTGGGGGATAGGTCCGTATGGGAGTACCCTTTTGCCGTTGCTGGTATCAATCTAACATTCATGCTCATTCAGATGCTTGATCTTGAAGCAGGTATATATTATATGGCCACAAGAATCTATTTACCTACCGTTTTTGAGATAATCAGGTGTTCACTAACAATTATAATCCTTTGAAAAATGTTCAGTAAAACCACGAACAGTTGTTGGGGCAACTTTTTTGAAGTTCCTTTCCGGTAAGCTCTGTCACACAACGCTATTTCCACTCAACAGTACTGTTTTTGTTTCACCAAATTGAAATGCCTTGATTGCACACGCATGGGTGTTTTAATTGGATATTGGGTGTTTGCGGTGTAAGCAGAGAACGAGTCTGCCTTTGACCTTCTATATTGCATTGCATTCAAGCTAATGGATCAACAATGGCTTTCAATGCGTGCTTCATACATGGAGTTCAACGTAAGTAGCCGTTTACCAATCCCATATATATTCATGAAAAAGATTTTTTTAAAAAACAGACATTGTGTTTGGTCATATCATGTTGATGTGAATGTTTAAATGACACAGACGGTGATGAAATCAACAAGGAGACAGCTGGAGAGAGAGCTGATGCTGGAAGACATAATGCATCTTGAAGACTTGCCCTCCTACGCCCTTCTCTCTCAATAGCCTTTTAATAAGAAGAAGGTTTTCTAACCTCACCGCTCCCGCTTTTAATAACACAAAAGTTGGTAGGCTCTCCATCTCTTGGCTTCTGCCCTTTCTACTGTTTGTTGGTTGGCTGTATGAAACAAGTCCTAACACCGACTTGTTGTTAGTTATATTAATACAAGAGAGAACGATAGATAGGGGGTTGGGATGAATCTCAATTTGGGTGTGGGTTGCAATAGGAGTGTGTAGCTAAAGTGGGTTTGTTTCCTAACAACGTTGAGGGGTTTGTAGTAACAGTGTGTTGATTGATCTTAAAAGACGATTGGGTAATGTTGTCGTCAGTGTGTGTGAGATAATAAGTCAGTTTTCAAATTCAAAAGCAGTCCCGTAAAGAACTCGTTCAGTGGCTAAACTTCATATTGTTATCCCGTTGGTGTATCAAAAATTGCTTAGATTGAGGTTGGATTTTTTAATGTAGTTTTTCTTCAACCATGCATCTTTTAAAACAAAGTTTGCTAACAATAATTTTTCTTATGGTAATTTTACTACTACTATTAATTTAAGGGACAATTTAACATGTTTTTGGTTTGCTATTTTAGCCTAATCTTTGAACAAATTCAATTAAATCTAACACAATAATCATGTCCACGACGTATGGCTGACTATTCTGTGACTCAAGCCTTGACGATCATATAATAACCGGGAAACAGAGAAGTTAAAATGAGCAAATTAATTTATTGCAACTGATGATCCGCCAGTACACATATTAGACGAAAAGGAAGAAGAACAATATTTATTGTTATATAAACTGTAAACAGATGGTCTTATGATGGTAACACTGATTAGTGATGGTAATTATGGTTCCACGCTCCCACTGCATAAGTAAATGATGGGGATAAATGGTATATAAACAGCATAAGAAAGAGAGACGACGTTCCTCACACACTGATTCCGTTTCAAGCAAAAGCACCCATTAGTGCATTATGCATATATGCAAGTCAACAACAGCGAGATCCCAACCACCACGTAGCTCATTAGTCTCCTAGATGCCCCACTTGATGGCGGTGGCGGTGGAGGAAATGGGGGTGGCGGCGTGCTTGACCCTGAATCGGCTTCGTGTGTTCCATCAGACCGCGACAAGTCTGGGGTATCAGGAGACGGTGGAGGAGGGGTGGGAGGAGGAACAACAGGAGACGGCGGCGGAAGGGTGGGAGTAGGAGGAGGAACAACAGGAGATGGAGGCGGAAGAGTGGGACTCGGAGGAGGAAAAACAGGAGACGGTGGCGGAGGGGTGGCTGGAGAGGAGGCAGAGGCGATGACCGTAACGGCAAGCTTCATGCCACTGATGCAATGACCAGGTGTTGGACAGATGAAATACTTTGTTCCTACAGTCTTGAGTTCGATTTTGGTGTCTCCGTCGGAGTGATTCTCGGTCGCGGAGGAGCTATCACAGGTATCGTATTCGGCTTTGTTAACCACATCCACCGAGTGTACCGGACCGTACTTGAACTCTGTTACAAATCGTCATCAATTCAAAGATAGTATTAACAAACCTCAAATAAGTCAGCGTTTTCTTGTGCAATAAGGTATCTCGAAAATATACCTAGAACGTCACCAACTCTGAAAGTTTTTCCAGTAAGCCAAACTGTGTAGTTCACACCACTGGCCCATCCATTAACGTCTCCGACCGTGTATGTCACAGCGAACGCAGCCGGGACGATGTACATGACTAGGAGAAGAGTGGCTGCAACCATCTTGAGCAAACCATTTGTTGCCATATGTTTTGGTTTGAATTTCGTGAGATTTGTTAACCTAAGGATTTATATAAAAAGTGGCGTGCGAACGACTAATGAGAAGTTAAGCTTTAAGCAATGTGTGAAAAGACGCCTCTTGTTAATTATTTTGGTTAGTTAATGTCCCTATAGGACATTCTTAATTAGGGTCAGATTTTATTGCTACTGCCTCCTGCTTTGTGTTTTGAATAAGGGCTTTCAAATTAAAAACATAAAACATACAAGGTATGGTTTTGAAACCATAAAGTTTTAAAAAGCATGATGAGACAATCCTCATATTCAGCTATGTGTTAGCTTAGAAAAGAGAAAGCTTATGAAACACAAGCTTAGTGAAACAAGAAAGGAAAATGAATACACTAAGGAGTATGATACCCACGGCCTTGACGGCCTCGTTTACCTTTCGCTCATGCTGTTTTCCATTCCATATCTTGAAAATTTTGAAATCTTGACATGTTAAGATTTGCCGTAGCATCACTCATAGACCCATCTCTATCATTCTGCACATATTGCTCAGTTTGATTGTGAAAAGGGCTGCCATGTGTAAGTGTGCACATAAAGGTCAACAGATTGTCTCCTACTTCCAAACTGGTCTCAGATACAATAACTGGTGATGGAATTTCTTCCATAATAATAGGTTGATCTGGATCAGGAACAGTACCTGATAATGGTGGTGAAGTGGAGTGAGAGTTGGAGCCAATGGCTATTGTTACCTTAGAGTGGGTGGGAAAGTTTGATGGTGTTGAAAGGGCCTTCAGCTCCACACCCTTTTGTGATTGCAGTCGCTCAATTTCTGTTTCTAAAATCTGAACAATAATTTCATTGTTTGCTTTTTCAGCTACAACCAAACTTGCTTCTGAATTTTCCACTTGTACCTCCACTAGTTCTGATACATAATTGAGCACTGTTTGTTCCTTTACCAATTCAACCTCTAGTGTTTCATTAGACACAGTCTTCTCCTCTGAAGTTGTTTCCACATTCTGGACTGCTGGTAGAAGACATCTTTTCTCTTTATGTCCTAAATGCCCACATCTGCCACAGATACTAGGAATCCATGTGTACTCAACATCCACCAAAAAGATATTACCTTGTTTGTCATCCAAAGCTATTTGCTTAGGGAAAGGCTTGTCAAGTTCTACTTCAACTAACAACTTTGCTTCTCCCAAGCAAGTTGGATCAAGGCGAGGCTTATGAGTTTGTATAGGCTCACCAAGTCCTGATGCTACGTGACTGAGACCTAATCTTGAGTAACAACAATCTGGAACATTTTTTTAAGTTTACCCAAACTGGAATAGTAGATACTTCAGGGACTTTAAGTGAGTTCACTGGCTTCCACGGCGAAACAAACAGCAAACAATCATCAACATGCCATACACTTCTCTGAACTACCCAATCTCGTGTTGAATCATGGGGAATGTGGAACATATAAGATGACTCGCTAAGCTTACGACACCATATTCTGCAACTTCTTCCCCACAACCTATTAACTACAGCATGAATGAAGCCTCCAGGAGGAAGAGAACAACGATGGAAGTGGCCAATGACATACTCTTTTTTATTCTCTGGTCCTAAACTAAGAACTTGAGAAGGAATGGTAACCTGAGGTGTTCCATCAAGCCGGAAAGTAGGTTTATCTGCTCGGTAAAGGTTTCTGGTAGCAGGATTCATTCTGGCAGCCCATGGAAATCTTAGTGTTCCATCATCCTTGAGTTCTGGAACTAGAATCTTTTGAACGGGAATGAGTGGAAACTCTCTTCTAGCAGTTTGTTGATCTCTTTTTTTCTGGTTTTGCCCAATACCATCAGTTATTGTTGGCCAGAAAGAATCGAGTAAGTTGTTGAGGTACTGCGGGTCAAAGTCCAACGGCGTTGCCGGTGTTGGAGGAGTAGCAGGTGGTGCGAATGCGAGAGGTTTGGCCCATTCTCCAATTGATGGAACAAAATCATTTGGGGGATTACAAGACAGCTCCTCGACATCCTCCTGAGGTGATGCTTCAACTACGGCGTTGAGGTCATGGGAGATAGACGAAGCAACATGAGGAAGACTCCCAACTATTGATTGATCTGCAAAGGAATCTTTATTTTTTTGAGCTGAAGCTTCAACCATCATAGTCTCAGCATTGAGGGAAGACGTCGAGTTCATTACAGAGCTACTGCTATTCACTGGACAAGAGAAGCTCGGCGAGGAACAGTTAGAGATGCTCGCCATTGAGGGAAGACGTCGAGTTCATTACAGAGCTCCTGCTTTGTGTTTTGCACATCTTTTATCACGTGTTATATATTATAGATTGAAGTTGTGATTAACTAAGGACATGAATCATGCAATGTTCTAATTTCATATTTAGTGACAGGGAAGTCCACATAAATTCAATGTTACCATGGCCATGGCATGAGAACTCCACATATCGTTTTTGTTAAAGTAAAAACCAGTATTTGCCTTAAGTTCCATCCAGAGGTAATTTCGACCACTAAACTGTCACTTCTCTCCTCCGCCAGGGTTTTGCTACGAAAACAAGATGATTAGGAGACAATCATGCATTGACGTACTCCTATGAATGGCACATAACTTGGATTATGGGCGGCCCTTAACGGCACATAACTGCGCTTCTCTACCGACCTAGCAGAAGAAACTACGTAAGCACTTAATATATAGTCTTGTATCAGATGAAATGAGGAATGCTGACACTACTCTCTCGCTCCTGTAACGCTACAGGAACTTAACGTACGAATGATTTAGCTATTTTCTTCGACCTGAGGAAAAAACAACTCATAGATCTTGTACAGATACATTTCGGCGAGCATGTACCTAAAACCTTAGGTTAGTTGTCTATATATTCATCTAAAATTATATTACATCATCCTTATTTAGTGTTGGTCGGTTGGTCCATGTATCTCGACCGATATTAAACCTGTTAAATGACGTCAACGCACAAAAAATTAAAATAGTTTCATTTTCCTAAAAATGGAAACCAGAAATATCTTTAACATTTATGAATGGCGGTAACCTTGATGCTGATACTCTGGTCCCTGGCTTTAGGTGCAAATAAAAAAGGGCTATCATGTGCAAATTTAAAAAGATCAAAGAAGATGCAACCTAAGTTAAAGTCATCATATCTCTAATTCTCTATAGATAGTACACATACTTTATAAAGAAGACGAGTCACAAGTCAAGTCACTTTTACATTGCATCAGAATTTGATGTCTCACACTTCATTTAATGATAAGATGATGAGAGAAGCAGCAGGTGGGTTTCCAAAATCGTAAGCAAATGAGGAAAAAAAAAAGAAAAGAATAAAATGTTACTTTCAGTGGAAAACTAAATAAAATTTATCTTCTAAAAATTTTTAACCGTGTGCAATACATGTATAAATATACGCTATGCATGTTGCGTACTCTTTCGTAAGTCAGGGTAATAACATATTTTTCACTCTAAGCAAATAGAAAATGGAGGAAACAATAAAGAGTTTGCTTGATGATTCTTTTGAAAGTGCAATGGCACTTACCAATTCAGGTGTGCCTCAAGTGCCTGACCGTTACGTTCTTCCGCCATCGCAAAGGCCAGCTCTTGGTGCAAGCATAGGTGCCAAAGAGACAACACTTCCTGTCATTGATCTCTCTCTTTTACACCAACCTTTGCTTAGATCCAGCGTTATCCATGAGATCAACATGGCCTGCAAGGAATTTGGCTTCTTTCAGGTAATAGTTACATGTAAATAAGTCATGCGATATCACATATCCAGCATGTTTGATGTTCTTACACGTTATATGACTTAGAAAGACGGTTGTTGTCTTCTTGCATGTATGTCATAAGCAACAAGGCCCTTAATCATGAAAGATAGATAAGAAAAGACAAAATCCTCAATCTAAGTCTTAAATGAGAGCACAAACTGCATGCATGCATGTTTTCCTTACTTATTCCAACACAAAAGAGTAAGAGATGAAGCCCTAACTTTTACTTTCCTACAGGTTATAAACCATGGGATACCACCATCTGTGGTTAAAGATGCCTTAGATGCAGCAACACAGTTCTTTGACTTACCTGTGGAAGAGAAGATGCTTCTGGTATCTGCAAATGTTCATAAGCCAGTAAGATATGGCACAAGCCTCAACCATTCAACAGACAGAGTTCACTACTGGAGAGATTTCATTAAACATTACTCTCATCCTCTATCAAAGTGGATCGATATGTGGCCATCAAATCCTCCATGCTACAAGTAAGCCAAAACTTATCTACATCTCTCCTCAGTATCTCAATATAAATGAAAAACATAGCTCTTTGGAAAGAGTTGTAAAAAATCTCTAAATGACCAGATCAACTGATAGGCATATTTTTTTTTTTCTTAAAGTAAATGAAAACTGATTGTACTCTCTTTCCTTTTAGGGACAAGGTGGGTAAGTATGCAGAAGCAACGCATGTGCTACATAAGCAACTAATAGAAGCTATATCAGAAAGCCTAGGACTGGAGAAAGATTACTTACATGAACAAACTGAAGAAGGCTCACAAGTCATGGCAGTGAACTGTTATCCAGCATGTCCTGAACCTGATATCACCTTGGGAATGCCACCACACTCGGACTTTGGCTCGCTGACCATCTTACTTCAAAGTAGCCAGGGACTCCAGATAATGGACTCCAACGAAAAATGGGTCAGTGTGCCGTATGTTGAAGGAGCTTTGATAGTTCAACTGGGAGATCAAGTAGAAGTGATGAGCAATGGCATATACAAGAGCGTGATTCATCGTGTAACTGTGAGCAAAGATTACAAGAGGCTATCCTTTGCAAGTCTTCATAGTCTACCTCTGCACAAGAAAATAAGTCCAGCACCTGAGCTCATCGATGTAAACAATGCACCAGCCTACGAGGAATTTAGTTTCAACGACTTTCTTGACTACATCTCGAGCAATGATTGTGTACAGCAAAGATTCATTGATACACTTAAGAAGAACAACTCCTGAAGATGATGGCACCAAACCGCAGAATTCAACAAGGAAATTTTCATGGCTCATCTTTTGAATCAAGCTTGGTTCGCATGAATCTTGTACTACTTAAGGTGCATCACTGTTGTATCTCCAAATTATCACATAATTAACAACAACCAACTAAAATCTTTATACACGTAAACATATAATGCATGGTTTATTGTATTGAAAAGTCATAATGAAATCAAATGTCATAGTCAAAGATTTCTTCTCCTCTAAAAGAAAATGGTGCTAATGTTCGTATCCAAGAAGTCTTTAAGGGAATTCAAATAAAAATAAAAATTGAAAATTAAATAATCATTACTCACTAATGATCTGAAATACGTGTATTAAGTGGTAAAAATATTTCTGTCTCTTGCTGCTATATACGGTCAGAAGCAGAAGCAGTCCATAGAAGTTTAGGATCAAAGGTTTTCAACTGTTTTGATTCATGTCATGTACGCAGAGGCTTATATGAAACATGACAAACACTTATTCAATTAACTCAAATTTTCTATCAAATTTCAAAGTATTTGGGATAACACATGAATCAAGTTGTTATATGAGTAATTTTCAACAATAGAAAAAAACAGTAGATGATCGAAAATTCAACCAAAAAATCTATCGAAATTCTCAGTATAGGAGAAAAGCAGATCGCACGGGATCAATACTTACTTGAAATCTACAAAGATGGGTTCACAGCCAAAATCTGAGCGACTAATTAACTTTGCGAGTTTGAGCTATCTAACTACGGTCTCCGCCTGTCGATTCCGACGGCCGTTTCTGTGGTTTTTTCTCTCTTGTAACCGTTTGTTTTAGTATTTTTCAAGATTATCTAATCAGCTTTGTCTTTATATATTTATTTACCATTACTCTTGTTAAAAAATTTAACCATTTGTAAATTTAGACGAAATAGCAGTCGTAATCCTAAATTCATTTTGCCGGGAAAACTTCAATTACATTGGCCAAAATTTTAGTTTACAATATTGTATGGAAAGTATAATTCACAACAGTCCTTTAGGGACATCCAACGGTCCTGCGTAAGGATAATACACAAATAAAAAAATAATTCAATTTTTCTTTTAGAAAAAGGGTATAATATAACGTCGATGGAAATCATGAGTTTATTTTTTTCTGCCAACGAAATCATGAGTTTCAATAAGTGATATTCGTACAGGATTTCTTTTTTAACGCAATTTTTTTTCTTAATATACAGATTTGTTGTTAGCATCGTCATGTACGTACCTCGACATCTATATCGCAAATGTCACGCATCTTTTTTAGCAAAAAGATAAATGTCATGCATCTTTTACTATCCTTTTGTCCGTTCACAATGCGTCGACTTTGTGTTATTATAAAAATTAAATTGTATTAACAAATTTCATAAAATACCAATAGGAAAATGATTCAAAAGATCTAAAACTTTTACACAAAATAAATAAATAAATCTCGAAAATAACTATGAAGTACTTAAAAGTGGTAAAAATATGGCAAAAATTCACAAAACCTATTATGAAAATGAATTACAGATAAAATGATGAAGAATGTTTAAGAGTTACACTTTATAACTTTAATATCAATCTGAATTTTATAGAAATTAATATTAATATAAAATTTTCTATACGTACAATATACATAAGACTCCTGCAGGTTTTATACTTTTTTTTGTCAAAATCATATATATATATACACACATTTTCTCCCTAAATGCGAGTACATGTAAAATTATTTGGAATATTTTTAACTTCATTTAAAATTAAGTACATATAGTTTTTACTAAGCATGAAAATACAATTTGAAAATAGTTATAAAATTATTTGGAATATTTTTAACTTCAATTAAAAATTCAAGTACACATAACAGTTTTTACTAATTGAGCATGAAAATACAATTTGAAATAGTTATGTATTATATATACGATTGAACAATTCTCTTAAACTTATAAATATATACGAAATGTGTCATTTCTCCTCAGAAATGTAATGTGTGTGTCTTTAAAAAAAATAATTAAAACTACCTTTCCATGAAATCCATAATATAGAAATAAACTTCGCAAAGAGGCATGACTTAAGCTGCGAATGCCAATACCATTTTTTCAGTGAGAAAAATAAAAGTTTTACCAAAAACAAAGCAAAACAGAAGACAAATATAAATAGCATAGAAGATTCATACATAATTTTAGATCTCTCTTTCTATTTAACTAAAAGAAGATCAATGATACAATGTGACAAACGAGTTACAAATAGCATAG